AGGGATCCAGAACAACAGTGGCCCTGCAGAACAGGGACCCAGAACAATAGGGGCCTGGCAAAACAAGGACCTAATTGCATAATGATCTCTCAAGCTGTAACTGCATCTGACAAATGATTTAGGATACAATGAATGTATACTGTATATAGTTTAGGAAGCTCTGCTGACAACAATTTATATGGAATGTGCTTTGTACTTTGTGTATCATTTCTGTATTATTATCACATTCAGGCTGATGAATAGACTTTTTGTATAATACATTGATGCAATACAGTCTGGTCACCTCTCCACCCTCGGCATTCTGGAAGTGCAGACAGTAGGAGTGGTAAATATTCGCTTTCATCTTCTGCAGGTTTACCTCTTTCACTTCTTACATAAAAAAAAATGAAAGGCGATCTTCAATCAAAACTTTTTTTTAGTGTTGGATAGCGTGGGGAAGAGTTAGAACATCTGAGTTTTTATTGCTGTGTGTGTGTGTCCATGCTCACTAGATTTGCCCACAATTTTCCAAACATAGGTTGGCAGTTGGCTCCCCGTAGAAAAAGAATGGGATGACAATTTTCTGACCCACTAGTGCCGGAGGCAACCGCTTTTTGAGGTGGATTGAAACGGCACATGCGGAATAACCACCTACCTTCCTCTTCAGGAAGATAGGAGTGACCATTTCCTGGGTGGTATTTTTGGACAAGTTCTTCCTTTAGGATACTTTATTGTGTAGCTGAAGACAAAACTTCCTTGTAGTTTGGATAGAGTGGGGGGAATCTCTGTCAGGTTTTAAATGCTGTTGTTATTCCCACTGGGGAGATGTCCCCTCACTTCCCGTTTTGGTGACCACTGCCATCAGGACAGAAAGTTATGAAGCTGCTCCCCAGTAGGGATGAGCTTTGGGTTCAAGTCAACTAGCTGATGAATAGGAGAACATTTTGGCCTCTGTGTCCTAGTACAGTGTCTTTGGTTGCTAGGACACTAGCGGGTGGGCTGCACAGTGTCTTTGGTTGCTAGGACACTAGCGGGTGGGCTGCACAGTGTCTTTGGTTGCTAGGACACTAGCGGGTGGGCTGCACAGTGTCTTTGGTTGCTAGGACACTAGCGGGTGGGCTGCACATCATCAATGTTTGCTTGGATGCAGATGGCTCCCATAACATAGCATTGACACTGTTCATTTTAATTGGATGTTCGCTGAACTTAGATTTCTGGTTGGGTCTGCCCAATGTTCAAGCGAACTAAACCTAGCCCACCGCCATCAGGACAAAAAGTTATGAAGCATCTCCCCAGCAGGGATGAGCTTTGGGTTCGAGTTGACTATCAGTTGACGAACAGGAGAACAAGTTGGCCTCAGTCTGTGCCCTAATACAGTATCCTTGGTTTCTAGGATGCTAGCAGCTGTACTGCACATTATCATTGGTTGCTATGATGCTGAGTGGCTGAGTTGCTGTTGTTCCCAGTTGCTTCCACTTTGTTATAATACCACTAACAGGTGACCGCAGAATATTTAGTAGCAAGGAAATTACACATGAATCCAATGATTTGGGGGGGGGGTCCCAATACTTTTGGCAATATAGTGTATTTCTATAGAGGATGTCCTATGCTGGCCCGTCATGAATGACAGCGGGCAGGGAAGTAGCCTCACATTCATTAACAGCAGCAAGATGCGTCATCTCTTTGAAGTGGAAATCTTTTTATTCTCCATCAGGGACTGAGCTTATGAACTCAGTAAGATCAAAAGATGTACGCTGTACGGAACTGCTGATTACTTACAATCTGGAAAATCGATGCAGCTGCAGGCACACGGCTAAATACACAAATGATGACATGCTGTGTTACTTGCCAAAAAGATTTGTAATTCTGTTCAGCCAGTCTTGGGATTTACACTTCTCTGCCACACTGCAGAGGCAGGGAGGTGACATATTTCCTGGTTTTAGCAATGCAACTTTCTGCGTTTCCTCTCCACCTCCAGCCTGCTGAATGGACCTTTAAGGATCCCTTTAATGTCCCTGGCTGTGCAGTGTGGCAGAGGGGATGAATCACAAGCTTAGCTAAGCATACAGTCTATGTCAGACCCTAAGGCCTTGTTCACACCAGATGCAGTGCGTTCCAGCTCGATTCTGGCCAGAACGCACTGCCTCGCATTGCTGCCAGCTCACTTCTTTGTGGCGCAGGAGGGGGCGTGGTGGGCCATTGAAGTGAATGTCACAGTAGCCACGCCCTCCGGCCGCAATGTGATTGCACCGGACCGCAGGCATAATGTGTCTTGCGATTGCATTGCGGCCGGACGGCGTGGCTACAGTGCCATTTACTTCAATGGACTGCCACGCCCCCTTCTGCCCCACAAAAAAGTGAGCCGTCCGCAATGTGAGGCAGTGCGTTCTGGCCAGAACGCACTGCATCTGGTGTGAACGGGCCCTAAATCTATTCTTAAAGTGCATGTAAGCCCCCAATTAGTTTTTTAGTGTTTGACATCATATTTTACCGTATACAACTTTGGTAAGCAAATAGATTTTTGTGAATCTGTTGCAAACTTTCTTACCTGGAGATCCTGCCAGTAACAGAACATCCTGTAGCAGGCTGAGGATTATTCTTTGTTGGGAAAATAAATGAGGATGAGGCTTACTTAGGAAGTAAAAAAAAAATGGCTGTAAAACAGTAATCGCAGGCTGCAATGCCACCGACAACCACAAGGGGCAGACACACTCAAATCTAACTAAGACAGAGAGAGATTTGGTTCCAAATGAAGGACAGTCCCTTCAAATCAGGGACAGATTTTTTTTTGTTTCTGTGAATTGTCAACAGTTAAAAAGAAAAAGTAAACATGCCACTTTTTTTTTTGTGTCACTTTTTCTGCAACAACTTTTTTGCTCATATATATAGTTTCACGCATTCCGAAATTAACGAAAATGTCTGATTTGGATGAATTGCCTTTCGGGCCCGGAAAAACGCAATAGCAAAAAATGCGACAGAAACAAATTTTTTGCTGGTGCACACGTCTACTACAATCTCAATACAAATGAGTAAACTAAAATGTAAGATTGTGGTCCATCACAGGAGCGAGCTTGGAGCGGTGACTACTTTACAACACACACAGGAACTATGGGGAACAAAAGTAGCCCCCCTCCAGAAGGAAGGATAGTGTCAGCAGCAATTCAGAGATGATTTGAAGATCTACAGCCGAGTGATACACCAATAAGATACATTGGGGGGAATTTATCAAAACAGGAGCAGATTTGCACTGCAGCCAATGAGCTTCTCTCTCTCATTTCCAAACCTTACCTGAGCAAACTGGAGAGAGAAGCTGATTGGTTGCTATGGGCAACTGCTCCAGATTCTATTTGCTCCAGTTTTGATAAATTCGCCCCATTGCTGTTAATAGTGAAGGTACTTGAATACATTTCTAAGATTCAACTCCTGAGTTCAGTGTCATTTTACCGCAATGCATGGTAACGCACGTTGGTGTGACGTCAATAATTTTGAATGGCACCAAGCGCACCTTCTCAACATACTTCCATTCCAGTGCAACGTGTGGCAATGCATTAACGCAGAGAAACCGTGTAAACAGGCCCTCAATGGTAGGAAGAGTCTACAGAGGTGTTTCAAAAGGTAAAGCAGATTATTTACCTTGTGTTTTAACGAACTTCAAAAGTGATAAAGCTGATCTTTGTCATGGAGTCCTGTTTTCTAGAACCCCCCCACCCCCGCCTTTTCCCAAAATATAGGAAAGGTCAGGATTGCAAAGTACTTGGCCCTGTCTGGTTCAGAGAAGGCTAAAGATACATTTTAATTGTCCTTTTAAATAAACCAGGCTGTAGTCTAGGTTTGCTTGCCCTTCAAACCAGCACTTTATGACAGCTCGTGGATGAGTCACCGCTGCTCTTAACCCTCTGAAGGAAAGAAAAACTGCAGGAGACGGGAGTGAATACTGTAGATCTTTATTCAGTGCTTAAGACTAGTTACATATTTACTCATAAAAAACATTTAGACTTCATAACCAAAGAAAAAAACAAAACCACTTTTTTTTAACCTGATTTCAAACTTTATCGCCACAAGTAAATGACGTACAACACGTTGCAGGTCTCAAGCAGGGAAGTCATGAGAGGGCAATGCAGGCCGTAACGGAAAAAAGAAAATGTAACGCTCCATTTAGGAAAAGGGGGTCATCGGGAGGCTCAGGATCCCTGCTGGGGAAGAGACAAAAATGGCGAACACAATTTCCAACATGGTGACTACGGACAAGTATGACTCGACACATGGAAAAAATGGACAACAATAACGGGTGATGGCTACGTGGGCCATATAAATAGTGGCCGGCTGAAACTGAGGCAGCAACGTGCATTATCGGGGTGCAGGAGCGGGACATGGCTTCAGTGCATCAATATGGAGGCATTTAAAAAATGGCAGAAAAGGCGCAAAAGGCATTTAACAGTGCAAAGAAAAAAGGCGCAAGGCTTTAAAGGTTATCCATAGTGTTAACAAAAAGGTAGATTTGGGGGATGGGGGGGCGCAGGAGCGGCACTTCGAGCCAACGATTTTCCAAAACACGGCCTTTTATTACCTCTATGGAGTTACAGAAAATGGCAGATGGCTCAGTTGAAGTTGTTCAAAATGGCTGACCTTTGTTATGCATAACTGGGCCACGGCGACAATCCGAACCGCGGGCAGGACGACCTCCAAATTCTATAACGTTTCTGAAATCAGTAGGTTTTAACCTAATAAAATGAATGTCTCTGTTTCTTTTAAAAAATAATTAAAAAAATGAATTTAAAATATATTACAGCGATTTTGACTCTTCAACCATGGAGGTCACCAGAAGAGGGTGGGGTGACCGCCCACCTATCTAATTCCAACTTGCCAAAAATCAAGATGACTTGGTTTAATAGTAACTAGTGTTCAAAATGGCCTCCAGGATAAGGCAGGCCTACGTCTGTCTGTCTGGCTCCGATCTTCAGATATAATTAGTGTTCTAAGCAGAAGTTATTTTAGGCAAAAACGGTCACAACTGACAAAACGTCTCCGAAGGGCGGTCCAGCCTTGCAACCTTCCCCACCACTGTGGGAGACCTTCTCTCTGTATACAAATCATTAGTGTTAACACTGGTCACCATCCACAACGAAGCGCTGACACGACAGACTCCATCTTGAATCAAAGCAGCCAATGCTGACTCCTTTCTGATTCAAAATGGCAAAAAAAGTAAAGGAAAGAAGCTCTACAGTTCAAAAATGGCTTAGCCATGGAGGCTATGGCATAGAAGCATTTTGGTCCACGCAGGATCAAAATGGGGGCATATTTCAAGAGATACTCATTGTTCAACATGGCCACTCCTGGCAAGCTTTGGCATGACTGACTCCATCTTGACACAGGTCATGCAGTCCTTCAAGAAAACCTTTCAAAGACGGTCCATTTAAAAGCTGAAAAGGCTGTCCCTGTAGCCAGGTGCTCAGCTGGCTCCTCCTCGCGCTCCCCATACTTTACTTCCTCACTCAGCAGGCTCCATTGGGTGGATGGAGCGTACTCTGATAGAGATCGGAGCGGAGGAATCGTGGGTAGGAATCTCGTTCCATCAGGCCGTAAATTCTGCGCTGAGCTTCGTTAAATGTTGAACGCGTGGGGACTAGTAGGTTGTGTTCGGTTAGCTCCCTCGTGCTAGAGTCCAGATTGACCTGCGGGAAGGAGAGATTTGAAGATAATGAATTGCAGGAAAAATGATATTACAGGCAGTCCCCGAGTTACATACATCCGACTTGCATACGACTCCTACTTGCAAAACGGAGGCTATTACTGTACAGCAGGGGTAGTTGTAATGCTACCGCGCTCGTACCGACGAGGAGTGCCCGCCTTTTTGGGTCTGGTTCGTAGTACTGTACATACATTACAGGAAGTTGCCTCTTGTTAGACATGCAGACGAGGGGTGCCCGCCTCTTCTTCCGGTCACCGCTAGATTTTTACTCATTAGAAAGATGTCATCTCACTTCCTGTCATTGAGACAACAGGAAGTGAAAGGAAATCTACAACTAGGAAGGAAAATTTACTCCTGAAAGAGTGAACATGGGAAAAAGGTGACTCCACTGAAGCTTTATCACTAATCCTTGTTTCCACGACAACCCAACATTTTCAAAATCCAATTGTCACGGGGACAGAAAGTGAGGTGAAATCTTCTGAACAGGGGCACACACAGCAAAACAAACTTTACAGGGGTAAACCCTTCCCTATGCTAGCCAAAAAAGTATTTTTGGTTGCAGTTACACTTAAAAAAGTTACCTGTTCCAACTTACATACAAATTCAACTTAAGAACAAACCTACAGTCCCTATCTTGTTCGTAACCCCGGGGACTGCTTGTACTTAGGTTATTTGAGAAGATCTATCCCGCACCCATTCCCCTATGGCCATTCAAAATAGATCAGGAGCATGCCATTATTAGAATGTAAGCTCTCACAGGTAGGGCCTCCACACTTTTTTTTTTCTTTTTTACTTCCACCGCTCCAAGCTTGCTCCAGTGATGGACTGCAATCTCAATACAAACTAGTAGTCCATCACTGGAGCCATTTTTTAAAATGTATTTTATTGTTTATCCGATTAATCGAACTTAATAATCGGCTAACTAATCGATTTTGAAAATAATCGTTAGCTGCAGCTCTACTCCGTACCATCTTGTTCTGACTTGTATTGTAACTATAATGTCTTCCTTATATTGTAAAGTGCTGTACAAACTGTTGTAGCTATATAAATCCTGTATAATAATAATAATGGCAGGAGGTGGCACTCCAAGCAATGGGCTATACATAGCCAGCGCTTTGAAGTATTTGAAGTGAGTTTTAGCAGCAAGACAGATGTGTTGGGGCCCTGAAGGTCCCCTTTATGAAGGTTGCACATTGATATACTGGATCTTCGTGGCCCTGATGCATCGGTCTTGCTGCTGTTCTTCATGTATGCCGACAAGTAAAACTCGCTTCAAATACTTTCCACATTACTCAGGGTCAAGAGCAAGTCAAGTCAAGAGCTACACCGGACCACTTTTATTGGTTTAACAAAACGACTAAAATTACTAGCGATTCAGTGCTGAGAGTAGAAATCAATCTCTATACGGATGAGACAAATGGCTGCTTGTGGTGGAAGTGACAAGTAGGATGTGGCAGTGAGATAAATTGCTACAGCGTTCTTTTTGTGCCGTTTACCCCATAGGGAGCTAACAACGGTCAGCTTGTGATGTTGGCTCTAAGGCAGAGCTTTAACTTTTTTTACAATTTAAATGGCTGACAAGTTTACTCTAAAGTTGGACTGGGGGCGGGTACATGGCTGTCTGGGCTCAGAGGAAGCTGGTTGAATGATGCTGTCCGTCATTCAACCCAAAAGACTGAGGATATCTTGTGGAGGCAAAGTACTGCGGGGGACAATTATGGATTGATGATTGGTATTGTGGCAAAAGCTGTTTCATTTTTTCTTCTAATGGGCTATTCATTTTTCTTTTATTGGAGTCCTCCATTAAAGCGCTGTGTGCTGAATAGGCTTACTTGCCCATGATGGCACACTTACTGTACTACTGTGCCCTTCTCCAGCGCTGTGCAATAAATCTTCTGTCCCCCGCCGCCAGCTCTGCTGCCGCCACTTCTGGGTTACCAGGCATTCTCTTTGGCCATTGGGTGGCCACTGGTGATTTTAACTCCAGTGCATGTGCATATCTTCCCCGGCATCAGGCCCATTCATGGCATCTTAGAGAGGTCATGAATGAGCTGAGAGTGCACTCTGCATGGCACATGCGCCGTACAGTGTTTTCAGCCTACAATCATTTGCATCCCAAACATTTGAGCACTGAATGCCTTATTTTTTTTGGTGAATTAAATATTCGATCACCTTCCGAAAGACGACAGCGAACAGAAGATTTCACACGCCAACGCATTAAAAGCTCATCAGAAGAAAGCATTGGAAGGGAAGATTCCAGCAACGCTTTCAGAAGAAATGATCATGCACCCCTCCGAAAAAAAAGAAACATTGGCAATCAATTATTCATCTCAATTGCTGACTTCTGTTCTAGGACGGAAGACGCCGGCATCAGTGCCCGCCCAACATGTGACACGCGCGCGTCATTACGGATTTTACAGTCTGCTCCTCCGAAAAGGCCTTGTGCAAAAAATAAACCGTAGCAAATGAAATACAGATTTAGCGCAGAGAAGATAACAGCCCGTTAGACCACTGGGAGGGTCATTCCAGTCTGGTTCACACGACAAGATCGGATTTACTCCGCAGAGACAGTAACGGTTGGTACTGTGGGGCACAATTATGGATTGATGATTGGTATTGTGGCAAAAGCTATTACATTTCTTCTTCTAATGGGCTATTCATTTTTCTTTTATTGGAGTCCTCCATAAAAAGCACTGTGTGCTGAATGGGCTTACTTGCCCATGATGGCACACTTACCTTACAAGTGTGCCCTTCTCCAGCGCTGTGCAATACATTTTCTGTCCCCCGCCGCCGCTCTGGGTTCCCAGGCATTCCCTTTGTCCATTGGGTGGCCACTGATGATTTTAACTCCAGTGCATGTGCATATCTTCCCCGGCATCAGGCCCATTCATGGCATCTTAGAGAGGTCATGAATGAGATGAGAGTGCACTCTGCATGGCACATGCGCCGTACAGTGTACACAGAGAATGAAAAAAAACCCTAGGGGGGGAAGTTTTTTGGCAGATGAGAAATTGCGCGTCTCTTCTGCCAAAAATCCCTCCAACAAATTTGAATTGTTCTCACTTCCGCTGTAATTGATAGACCGTTATCCACATTCTGGAAACATTCCATAATCATCAGTTATTATTGCAAAATGATCTTCGTCATTCAGCAACACTCTGTGTTCAGAGTCTCATAGCGCGGTGCTTCACTTTAAATTAGGAGAGGAATGAAATGTAGCCAGCAGGAATACACACACACACCCAGTTTAATAACCGTGGCTCATTGAGAGGTGATCGTGCCTCAGGAAGTGCTATGACTAAGTTTTCCTCAATCACATAGGCAAGAACACAAGTAAAACTGAAAGCCAAAAGTAAAAACAGAGCAAATAGGAAATGCTGCCTTTCTGCACGGACTGACATGGCTTCAAAAGATTTTTTTCATACTGTATGTTTAAAGTGCATCTAGCCTACAAATTGTTTTGGATGGGGTGGTGGAACTCCTGTTGGGTTTGCACTGCTATCTGGGGCTCCGTTAGATGGATTTCCCCTCACTTCCTGTCCTGATAATAACGATTTTTACTTGACAGGAAGTGAGGGAAATCTGCAACAGGGATGTAGACAGAAATAAAAACCTAGTTTCAAAGAATGTCACCAGCACACCATGCTAAACGCGAGTAGCAAAGGTCCATTTTAATGACAGAATTCCATTCAATTGCAAGCGCTTTCGGGGCCACACAGGGTCCCCTTCATCAGGGCTCAGAATGACGTCACTCTGAACCCGATGTAGGGGACCCTGTGTGGCCCCGAAAGGGCATGCAATTGAATGGCATTCATTAAAATGGACTTTTGCTAATCACGTTTAGCATGGCGTGCTGGTGACATTCTGTGAAACTGTATACGCCTCGCAGCGCCATCCGTGATCACTACAAGCACCCACCGGCATGCCCAGGTCATCCGCGGAATCCGGTGAGGAGTGCAGCAAGATACATTCATTTATATCTGTAAAAAAAGTCAAGGCAACTGGACTTGCTGTATTTTTCTTGAAGACATTTCGCTGGTCATCAGACTAGCTTAGCTACGGCTAAGGCCGAGTAAGGCAGAAACGTGTCAGCGGTTGTGCATTGTACAGATGCATGTGGAATAAAGTTGAAGTTCTTTGGAAGATTTTCGTGCGCCTGTTGCAAGGTTTTTGAGCCTATTACTACGGAAGAAAGTCATCCGTGCACCGAATGTGGATTGCGGGGACGCATGATAGGGGCGAGCTGTGCACTTTTGTGTTTTCAGCCTACAATCATTTGCAGCCCAAACATCTGAGCAATGAACACCTTTATTTTTTTTTTGCGAATTAAATATTCAATCGTCTTCTGAAAGACGACAGCGAACAGAAGATTTCACACGCCAACGCATCAAAAGCTTACCAGAAGAAAGCATTGGAAGGGAAGATTCCAGCAAAGTTTTCAGAAGAAATGATTGCACCCCCCCCAAAAAAAAACATTGGCAATCAATTATTCATCTCAATTGCTAACTTCTGTTCTGGGACGGAAGACGCCGGCATCAGTGCCCGCCCAACATGTGACACGCGCGCGTCATTACGGATTTTACAGTCTGCTCCTCCGAAAAGGCCTTGTGCAAAAAATAAACCGTAGCAAATGAAATACAGATTTAGCGCAGAGGATGAAAGGCGGTTACACCACTGGGAGGGTCATTCCAGTCTGGTTCACACGACAACATCGGCTTTACTCCGCAGAGACTAACGGTTTCCCACTTTAAAGCAAGTGGACCTGTCACTAAAATCACTTTACATGCTCGCGTAGGACAGTAACCGACCACATAACTATTCTGAGCAAAAAAAAAAAAAAGATCCCTCGAGCGACTTAAAGGACTCGGTCACATGGTCTCAGGGGCGTAGTGGATGTTTCACATTATCGGAGATCACAGAGAATCAATTGATTTTAATGAAATCTAATGGAAGGCAGGAGGATCAGCAGGCGCTGTGTAGCGC